GTATATCACAAAATATATGTACATAAAATTAGATTTTGCTCCCTTAGATACACATGTCTGTTTTAATTTGCACAAAATTCTATTAGAAAATTTCCAATTGCCAACTTTTATGTCGTTAACTGTTAAATTTATTACAGTGGTCAAGCATCAAGTATCACTAACTACCAAATAAAATTCATCTTATGTGAGACGAACGTGCCAAACGTGCATAAAATATGTAATATTGTTCACGTGCCAAAGCGTAAAATATGCAGAATAAAAATAGTCCTCGAGATCTCTGTGAATGATACAGTTGAATTGAGTAATCGAAATTCGGGTCGTACAAAACTCGCTTTCGTCCAACTGACTTGAGATATTTGATCGTTCACAAATATTTAATGAGAAATATTTCCTTCTCAACCGCGTGTTGGAGTTATTAACATGAGAAGTTAATCCATCTTCACATGTCGATTCTTGTAACGTCCCAATACATTCTTTCTCAAGAATAAATTTCTAATTTCAAAACTATTTTTAGAGAAAGATCTCTTGTGAATTGATCTTGGGGGTTTCCGAAGGATGTGAAAGTTATTTTAACGTGCGGACACCAGTTGTAAATATCCGACTGAAATTCTGATTTTGCCCGAGCGGAAAGCATCACACGGTTTCAGCTCGCTATTTTTTTTTTTTTTTTTTTTTTTTTTTTTTTTTTTTTTTTTTTCTTTTTTCTTTTCAAACGAGAAAGAAATTCGGATGAAACAGAAAATTACTAAATATAACTTCAGATGTGCGAGAACTGTCAAATGTAAGATTCGAAAATTGTCGGAGCGTTTCCCTCCGCCTTTCAGTCCCCTTTCAAATCTCTTCCAGTTACCGATTACAGATAAAATCGAAAGTGTCGGAATAATCGACGCTCGCAGCCGCCTGTCTTTGATGAAGTGGATGACTTCTTGACTTTCGAGGTGCTACGTATCTGGCGTGCAATGCGATGTTCATAAGCCATTGATCACAGGAGTGTATAGCCGCCGCGTGAACTGTATCTAGCAACTCGGCCAGGATCAATACGGTCTTGGCAAAAACGTTCATCCTTAGACATTAACTGCTAGTCGATAAAACTGCCACCATTTTTGCTTAACCAGCAAAACACGCGATATCTCGACCTCGGCAAGGCAAATGCCAAAGGACATTTTTAATACCAGCAGACCAACGTTAACAGAGTGGTCGAAACGATCCGTAATTCTTTTCATCGTAGAAATTCCATCGTAGATTTCCGACGCGAAGTTAGAGATATGCGCCAATAGCTTGTGCTTTTTGAATTCGAATTTGTTCGTGTGTACGGGCGAAACAACGGAAGCGTTTCAGCTACTAGCTTTAGTCTCAAAATATTCGCCGTGTAGAATATCTTCCAAAATTAGATTTAATTCTATCATCTCCTTTTACGCGTAAAGAGATACGAAATATATACGCGAACCAGAGATCTCGTAGATCGCTTTTTCAGCTTCGTTGTATCAACGAACAAACAGATTGAATTTTTAAAGTGTTGACGAATATCACTATCGTGTTGGTGCGAAGATCTTCTTATCGGATAGAATAAAATGGCAAAAGGGAGAAAATTAAAGGATCAATTAAATAATCAACAAATATTGGACGAAGTTTGTTGCAATTTCGCTCGGTCAACAAGAAGCGGTAATTAGTTGCGAGCTGAGAATAGAACGGTTGTGATGCAAACGAATAGGGTTGAAACGTAATTACGCTGGCGTTTCTACATCGGACTGATCTCGCTAGGTTTCACGGGATAATTCATCGTTGAAATCGTAGGAATCAAGTATCGAGGGAGGAATTTCCCAACCGATGAATAGCGCCATCATTCAGCGTCGTTCCCTCCAATCACGATTGTTTCATTTTATCGCGAGTGTATAATAGCAATTGATTCCTCGTTCGAATTGATGAAATTGATGTGCCGCACGCGAATAATTACTTAATAATAACTTGTCAAGAAGCTACGAATATTGATCTTCGAGGGTGCGAAATCTAGAATATTTACACGAAAAAAGCCGCAAAACACACATTGATTAACGTTTTATTTGTGTAACGCAGATAAGGAAGTTTCACGGAGATTATTGGGGTTTGCCAACGTTATATATACTCACCGATAAGTACATAACAACTAGTTACTCAAAGCACTAGAAAGATAGACACGTTTCTCAAGTGGTACACTCGATAAAATTCACCAACAATTGCGAATTTACGAGTTACGAACTTTGCACAGGATTTTGCAATACATCTCCGACTTAATCCGTACGATTCTCTTTTTTTTACAGGATTAAAACAGGATTCTGCGTGAATCGTTTAATTTTCGATGTTTGGTAGTGTTTGGTTCATTCGATCAGTCATCACCCTGATTTTGTTATCCCTCTTCAGAATACATATGTATATATATATTGGAATCTCTGTTCGATGGCCCCGTACATCGGAAATTTCACATTCGATATACTCTTCCCCGTTCATTAAATCCTTTGATTGC